TGCAGAATGGTCTAAAGATGATGCGACTGAACTGCTCATGATGGTTTCTGAAGCCAGTGATGAAGTTTCTCCAGTATATATTCCAAAACCCTCGGATGGAAATCGGGCCGGGGCATTCCTTCAATAATTTGCACATCGAGCCCTAGAATTGGTTGAAGTCTCTCGACGGCAAGCGAAGGCGCACCCTCTGTATCTCGAAGCTGCTCAGAAAGAGGCAAAACACAGACAGGAGATCCTCCGAAACAGGTCAAACAATTCTGAAACTCCTATTGAAATTTCACCAGATAAACCTGATGTTTCTGCTACCCCATCCTGTGTGCCTGTTTGTTCTGAAAATTTAACTGTTTTGGATTCCGAGAATCCCCCTGTGAATGTTGATTCTACATCTCTGCCTTTGAGTGAGTCTGTTGGTGTGAAAACTGATGTCTTGCCTGTGTCTGATGAGAAAGAAAAGTCCTCTGATGAGCCAAATAAGTTGAGTTTGGTTGTTTATGCTTCTGATAATATTGCTCTGCCTCCGGCTGAAATTGCTGATGACCCTAAAGAAGTTTGTTCTGTCGTTGACACTCCTGTCTTACCTGCTAATGTTGAATCTGTTGATCTATCAAGCCCCCACAAGTCTGAGAAAACAGGTGGAATCCCAGTCTACACTGCCACATCATTAGGCGAAAGTTTGGAACATGTGCGCCACTTTGCTGGTCTACCATCTGCTTCAATCCCTCAACCGTATCAAGTGATTCACCCTTCCGAATCTTCCAGCGAAGATGATATAATACTGGCTGAAGTGTATGGATCTCAAACACTTCCATCTGATATTCCAACTATTGAGGCCACTGCTCATCCTGACTCAACGACCTTCAAAATTCCAGAAATTTCGAATATTATTGGGAGCTCATCTGCCAATGTTTCTGATTCCAGTCATTCTGTGACTCCTGTTCAATCCCCATCCAAAGAAACAAGAAGGTCTAAAAGGAAGAATGTTCCAGTAAAGGTTGTTGTTGAGACTGGTGATGACAGTGCTGATGTGGATCAGCCTGAGAAGAAAAGGAAATCGAGTGAGGGTGTTAAGCTGGAAGAAAATCCGCCTATTCAACAAGTGTTCAAGACTTTGCGATCGTCTGTTAAGCAAAAGGGGCCTGCTGTTCAAGTTACTTCTGTACCTGCACCATCTGTAAAAAAAAAGGAAGCCATCCACAGGATCAAGAGGACGAAGCATTACTCCTGAGGTTCAACCTGTCGAAGAAACTGATCCATCTGTCCAAATGGTCTACCATGGTTAGAAGGGATATTATTGTTCAACAATCTGTGGATGAGAACCAGCTGAATTCTGTATGTGACATTTTACCTTTGCTGAATGAAGTCGGATTGTTGAAGACTGTCACGAACATCTGCCCATACTCTAAGCTTCTCACGTATGAATTCTATTGCAATCTCAATGACGAGATTGACATCCTATCTGGGCCACAACCGATGCAGATTTTCATCAGAGGAAGGTGGTACGTTTCTGGGCCGGACATGATCAATGAATACTATGGTTTGACTGTTGTGCAAGAAGACCCTGTCACTAACTGGAACTTGGTGGCCAGAACTCTTACTGGTGGACAGACAAAATCATGGCCTACAGGAGATAAGGACTATCTGCAGAGCTCGCATCTCACATCCAGATATGTGATTCTACATCGGCTGGACCTTCACAATTGGCTCCCATCAGCCCATTTCCACACTGTTGGCAAGTTACTGGCAGGCTTCTTATTTCGCATTGGAACGAAGATGCCAATTGATCTGGGAAAATGGATTTACTATCACATTCTTACCTTAATTCATCCACGGGAACAGAAGGTAAGACTACCCTCCCCAAATCTGATTTTTGGCATTCTTACCACTCAGGGTCTTGAGCCTATGCCCAGTGAGGTGATCAGTCCAACACTGCTCTATACTGTTGATAAACGTCTGCTGACTGGAGATCACATTCGGGATGTTGTTCCTGTGTCTGCCCCATCCAATTCTGAACCAGATGCTGTTTCTGATGACTCTCCTCATGCTAAGGATGTTCAGCTTTCCATACAGTTGAAGGAAAGGGTCGCTGATCTTGAGACAGTACATGGCATTATTGCAAAGTAACTGACAGGGGCCCGTACTGAGCTAGCAACCGTTCTACTTCGTTTAAGCCTATCTGAATCTGCTGCTGCTGCTGATCCTGCGAAGTCTGACAGTGACACTCCCTCCAATGCTTAACCTTTGACTATCATTGGCAAAAAGGGGGAGTAGTAACTCAGGGGGAGTTTCTTTTGTGTTTGAGTACCTTCTGGCCCTGGCTGGGCGTTGTTTTGATGGCACCACTACTTGGATCTTTTGTTTTTGTTTTTAGTTCTATGTAATCGAATCAGACTCATGGGTTGCTTCTTTATAATAACCTATCTTAGTTCTTTATGTTTTGTCTATCTATATAGTCGAGTTGTTTTGCCAAATAATAGCCAAATGGGGAGTTTGTTAGTGTTTTTAAATTGTTCAAAAACCCCATATTATAATTGGCAATATTATTATGGCACATACTAAGATAGGTTTAGAGTTTGTCCGTCCAGCTCTACAGTCGACTGATCAATCAGAAGCAACAACAGAAGGACTGACACTGAAGATCTGATTTAGGAAGCTGATTTCTAAAAGTCTTACGCGGTATTATCAGACAAGTTTGGAAAGAAGATCAACGTATATTTTCAAGAAAGGTATGGACCTAATCTTCTGAGATTACATTCCTCTTTTATAGTCCTACCTTCTACAATCAAAGTTTTTTATGGAGAGAGTTTATTGAAGAATCTATAAGTACCCTTACTCGAAGAGATTTAGGGTTACGCCGAAAATACGAAGAAACACTCCCCATCTGCTATATGAGATTAGATCTTTGATTCTCATGTATCTTCTCAATACAATATGTTCATGGTGATTAAGATGATGAACTTGAGAAGAATCACTGCTGCTTAAACGAAAGGACACTGTGATCACACTGTTGTGGGAACAACTATAAAGAGCGTCATTGAAGTGGACTGTATCAGAGTGGGCTCTCCAAGTGAAGGGATTTCATTGGACTTCTGTATGCATGGCTCTCCATCTTCAACAATCCACTAAACCTGTGTAGACTGGGTATGTACCTTGTGTGGGGCACTTGGGTAAGATTATTGTATATCTACCTTTGTACATTGGATTATGATTTAGTGAATTGGACGCCTATGTGATCGTCCCCCAGACGTAGGGGTGTAAATGAGCCGAACAGATCGCGAGCGGCTCGGTCAAAGCTCGGCTCGAGCTCGATCAAAATTGAGCTTGAGCCGAGCTCGAGCAGCTCGTTTAGTAATCGAGCTCGAGTCGAGCCTAGATATTCTAGGCTCGTGGCTCATCGAGCCACTCGCGAGCCATATAATATATAATATATATAATACATAATATAATATAATATATAATAATAATATATAAAACTAACAATTAGAAATTAAAATTTCAAACTCAAAATCCCTAAAAGATTTCTATTATTTATGAATGGATAAAACAAAGTAATTTTAAATTTAAATTAAATGTATTAAATAAGTCAAATTCAATGTCAAAATCGAGCTCGAGTTCGAACTCGAACAATCAAGCTGCTCGAGCCGAGCACGAGCAGTTCGAAAATTACCGAACTGGAGCTCGAGCATCAATTTTAGAGCTCGATCGAGCTCGAGCCGAGCCTCCATTAACGAGCTCAAGCTCAAGCCTACCTAGGCTCGAGCTCGGCTCGGCTCGTTTACACCCCTACCCAGACGTAGATACACACTGTATCGAACTGGGTAAATATTCTGTGTCGTTAGGTTTGTGCTCTTATCTTTCTCTTACATCTTCTCCACTATTTATTATTACTGACTGACTTCGTAACTGAATCAATCAGTAATTTCAGACAGTTGATTAATTATGTTAATCTTTCTAAAAAGAGAATATGCAAAATTACATAGCTTTAAAAAGTTTTCAAATATATGAATTATACATCGTAGCATGGAATCAATTAGTAGGAAAATTATATTAGGCAATCAAATTAATAATTTACTTTTAAAATTATATCTCATTTTTAATAATGAATATTTTCTTAAAATATATACACAGACTATGCTTATCAAAATAGAATTAAAAGTATATATATATATATATATATATATATATATATATATATATATATATATATATATATATATATATATATATATAGGCTTCGAATCCGGTGCACACCCAATGACACATGAGCACATGAGATCTCTTGATATCCATTGATTCCATTTCCATGAATGGTTAAGATTAGATGAGAGTTTGAAAGAAATTAAGGATATTGAGTAATCACAAGGATTAAAATGTAATTGTATTTATTTGTTTAATTATGGATATTATATTATTGGAATCTTAAGCATTATATCAGTGATATTATGAAAGGTAAATTGAATGTGCATACGTCGTGTAAGAAAGAAAATGTGTGAGGAAGTGTGTGGGAACAAAGTAACGGGCGGTGTATTGGTATGTGCGTATATGGAGGGTGGTTTGGTTTTTAGATAATTGTTGTTGGGTCGGATGGAGAATAATTTGGGGGTGTTAATGTGTGTAGTTAAGCACAGTGTATGATGGACAGAGGTTGATTAAACACTTGTGCAAAGCCGGGAGTTCATTTAACCGGTTAGGGTCTTAGGATGTTGGTGTGGTTGTGTGCGAGTTGGTAGTACAGTATGTGCATATCGTTAGAAAATGCGCTTGTGCGTACTGTGGTCCACTGACTCTCATATTATAACTGTATCTGTGATTTGTAAGAGTAGCTAACACGTTCAGGGGCGTGTGTGCGTGTAAGTGTGTTTGTAAAGGTGTGGAACGACATGTTGTTAGATTATTAATAGGTGTGCATGGACCAACAATAGTAGGTGCATAGTGGGCTAACAGAGATCTATGAACAGACTAAAATGTTAATAAATGTTTGTTGTTTGTCAGGTGCACTACCCATGGAAGATGATGCTGGGGGACAAAATTGTGTTATGGATGTATCACCAAGTGATAATGAGAATTGGTTAACAGGATGCGGCTCCACCATAAAGCCGGCCAAGGGACAATTGTTTAACAACTTAGAAGACGGTATTGAATTTTACAAAAAGTATGCATCTAAAGCTGGCTTCGATGTGCGTCGAAGTTCTGACAAGAAGAACAAGCACGGCGTCATTTTGAGAAAAAAGATGGTTTGTTCACGTGAAGGTTTCAAGGAAACGAAAAACACAGGGCCGTCTGTTAGTGATCCCTCGACAAAGGCCAGACGTCACCGGCCATCAACCAGAGTTGGGTGCGTGGCTAGGATTGTATTCAAAAGAGACAGTGCGGGAAGGTATGTTGTGAAGACATTCGAAGAGGCACACACGCACTGTTTGTGCGAGGAGAGTTACAAGCCTTTCTTGAAAGTGAATAGGAAACTAGATGTTGGTCATCAACAATTCATAACGAATTGCTCTAAGGTTAATATTGGCGCCAGTAAGAGCATTGACATATACGCAGAGATGGTTGGTGGAGTTGAGAACGTGGGGTGTACGTAGCTAGATTTCAAGAATTACAGAAGGGAGGTCTTGGCATACATGCAAGGAAGCGACGCACAAATGGTAATATCGAAATACCTTGATATCAAATCTGACTACAGTGACATGTACTTCGAATACGAAGCAAATGAAAAAGACCAATTGGCACGTGTGTTCTGGGCGGACAGTGCTGCACGCTAGAAATACTGTGTGTTCGGAGATGTCATATCGTTCGATGCAACGTACAAAACAAACAGGTACGCAAGTCTGGAAACTAAAAACTACAAATGCAATCATCCCATATGTGTAAACATTGAGAGTGGTTCAGTGATTTGTGAGGATTTTATAAAAATGTACGTGGAGGGTTAAGGGGAAAAAACAATCTGCTGTGCGTGCGTGAGTTGAAGCGTGTGCGTTGTAGTGTGTAGTGAATGCATGGCCACCTATCTGAACGTCAAAAGCTTAACGTTCTAAGCATACGAACTAACTAGTTCCCTGTTGTAATAGGTACAGCCTCGTGTTTGTCCCATTCACCGGCGTAGACAACCACAAAAAATGCGTGACATTTGCAGCAGCACTAATTGCTAGGGAAGATGTGGACTTGTATTGTTGGGCACTCAGGATCTTCAAGAGCGCGATGGGCAGCACACCGCGTATTACAGCAACAAATCAAGACCCGACAATGAAGGTAGCAATTGCAAAGGAATTCCCGGAGACCCGGCACCGTTATTGCATGTGGAATATAATGACAAAGGTGAGTGATAAAGTGAGCACTGAGATGGCGCGGAACGAAGAGTTCCGCTGGGAGCTAAATGGTGTAGTGTGGAATGACAGCGCAACTTCCGAATATTTTGAGGTTGGGTGGAAAGGAGTTAATGAAAAATACAGTTTACAAGAAAACGCATGGCTGAAACGTATGTATGACAAGCGTGCAACATGGGTGCCTGCGTGTTTTGAAGACGTGTTTATGGGCAGACTACTCCGTACCACATTCCGGTCTGAAGCAAAAAATAGAATTTTCTGAACCAACACAAACAAACACTTGTGTCTTTTAGAATTTTTCATCCGGTTAGTGAGTACAATTAGAAAGCAACGGATCACAGAGGCAGACCTAAGTGGGGCATGCAATGCACAGACACCCCCCCTTCAAAACGCAACTGCAAATAGAGCGAGAGGCAGCGTCACTGTATACATTAAGCGTGTTTTACGAGGTACAAGAGAAAATATGTGCCGGATGTTTTGATTGTCGAGTGTGTTCAGTCAACCATGATGGCCCCTTAGCCATGTATGTGGTCGAGGATGAATACAATAAGACATACACGGTCATAGTAGAAAATGGGACAAACACAACAACCTACACATGCCGACTGTACACAAGGATTGGTCTGTTATGCAGTCATGCTTATGCAGTTCTAATCTACGAAAGGATCGAGCACATACCTCCCCAGCATATCACCCCCCGATGGACAAAAACCGCATTAAAAAAAACAAATGGAGTGGGCAATGATAGTTTGCAACATGCAAGGCCTTCGACACCCAACAGCAACGAAGAAAGCACCATAATTAATTTGTTATACATATGTTTAGGTCTCGCTCAAGGAGACATTTCGAAGTTGCAGCCGATACGGAAAACACTTGAGGAGTTCAAAGCAACATGGTGCGAGAGCGGGGTAGAACGAGGGGCTACAGATAAAGGCAAACGAGTGATTATGGAGTCATACTACGGCGTCCCACAACCTGAGGAAGTCACTGTGCACCCACCATCCACCCGTTTCAAGCAACAAAGGGTCGGGAAAACAAATGAGGACTGCTAAAGAGATAGCAATGAAGGAGCAAAGTAAAAAGAAACGAACATGCAAGACCTATGGGCTAGCAACCGGCCACAACAATAGGAGCTACCCCCAAAAATAAAAATGGTATTATAATTGAAAGAACTAGTGAGAGCGTTACTATTTATTTCGAACTATTTAATCTTCGAAGATGTCATGACATTTTGTAGTTGTTTTTTAAAAAAATACAGTATGCATGTGCGTGAAACCCTCTACAGCACGAGCGTAAAGCTTTACTGATTTACCAATAATTTTTTGCTACACTTACTGTGGGTGAGATGGTGCCTTGGGGAGACAAAATGATTAATGACAAATAAATGGATGAGATTATGTGGATAGCATGCTTAAATTGAGATGACATGGTCTGTGCAATGCAAAGTGTTAACCCCGAATATCAAAAAGCCTTAGCCACGCAAGAGCCAGGAACCCTCAGGGAAGCCTATGCCAAGGCATCCCAGCTACAACAAGTGCCAAACCAACCCCGGGAAACACGCCTGGGAAACAAAAGGAAATTAGAAGGAAATCACATGAACCCCACCCGCGGCCTTAAAAGCCCCAGGGCCGCCTCACCCCACTTAGTCACAACGCCAACCGCTCAAGGAAGAATCCTCACTCTAAGCAAAGCCAAAATTGGGGATAGCAACATAGTCTCCGGAACCTTCCTAGTACACGTCACCCCCGCCACAGTGTTATTTGACTCAGGGGCTACCAACTCATTTATAGCAACCGAGTTTGCCACTCGGCTCGGCCTCAATACCAGCACCAAGGTCCGACTCCAGGTCAAAGTGGCCTCCGGCGAAATCCTAGAATGCGACCGCATGTACAAGGATATAATAATCACCATACGAGGGATGGAATTTCAATCCGATTCAAACTGGATGGGGTACAAGTGATTTTGGGCATGGATTGGCTAGGAAAGTACCAAGCACAAATCCTATGCGGAGAACAAAAAGTGGTCCTACGAGGACCGAACGGTAAGAGGGTATCTTACCATGGAACCCACCAGGAAGCCGGGATCAAAGTGGTGAACATGATGAAAATGAAGAGATACCTAAACAAGGGAGGCGAGGCCTTCCTATGTTCGGTCGAGGACCTCAGCACCAAAACCCCCGAACCACAAACCATACCAGTGGTAAGCGAATTCACCGACGTCTTCCCGGACGAAATCCCCGGGGCACCCCCAGTCAGAGAAGTCGAGTTCACCATAGATCTCGTACCGGGCGCTGCCCCAATTTCTAAACCTCCCTACCGATTAGCACCAAAAGAAATGAAGGAACTAAAAACGCAACTGCAAGAATTGCTAGACAAGGACTACATCCGTCCTAGCACCTCCCCATGGGGAGCGCCAGTGTTGTTTGTTAAAAAGAAGGACGGGAGCATGCGCCTATGCATCGACTACAGGGAACTTAACCAAGTCACGATAAAGAATAAGTACCCCCTTCCCCGAATCGACGACTTGTTCGACCAACTTAAAGGGGCAGGGGTATTCTCAAAAATTGATCTAAGATCCGGGTATCACCAAATACAGGTGGCCAAACAGGACATTCAGAAAACAGCCTTCCGGACACGTTACGGTCACTATGAATTCACCGTAATGCCCTTCGGACTCACCAACGCGCCTGCTATATTCATGGACCTCATGAACCGAGTGTTCCGACCCCACTTGGACGACTTCGTCATTGTATTCAGTGATGACATCCTAGTCTACTCCTGAAACAAAGAAGAACACGAAAGACACCTCCGCATAACCCTGCAAACCCCAAGAGAGCATCAACTATACGCCAAGTTCTCTAAATGCGAATTTTGGAAGGACAGCGTGGCCTTCCTGGGTCACGTGATAACCAAGGAAGGGATTAAGGTGGACCCCGCCAAGATCCGTGCCGTTAAAGAATGGACCACACCAAGCTCACTCACCGAAGTCCGAAGCTTCCTAGGCTTGGCGGGCTACTACAGGAGATTTGTACCCGACTTCACCAGGATAGCCCAACCCCTCAACAAACTCATGAAAAAGGAAACCCCCTTCCAATGGGACAACGACTGCGTCACGGCCTTTCAAGAATTGAAGGATAAGTTAACCACGGCACCCGTACTCGCCATCCCCTCCGGGGAGGAAGGATTCGAGGTCTTCAGTGACGCATCCAAGAAGGGGTTGGGGTGCGTGCTAATGCAAAAGGGCCGAGTAATAGCCTACGCATCCAGGCAGCTCAAAACCCATGAGGAAAACTACCCCACCCACGGAAGAAAACTCCTGAGTCAACCCAAGACTGAACGAAGGGATATCTGCATCTCCCTAAGGAATGAAAAAGAAACCGTCATACAATAATCATTACGAACACAAAGAGATAAATTTCAAAGTGCACCACCACCAAAAAAAACAAAAGATGAGTAGCATTAAACAACAGCACGACATATTGATGCCAAAATAGAGTGCATGATTAACAAAATATACACAGTAAAGGTGCGGTAAACGCTGGACCACACCCGTGCATGTCATAATACAAAACAAGGCACCAAAAGAACCCTACGATGGGAACAAGAAAAAAAAGCATAGTTCACTGCCACAGAAACACTTGTACCGCTTAGCTTTACGGCGTCGGCGTACAACCTTACTCACAACAGCAGTCCTAGCCACTCCGGAACCCCCATCCCGCGGAGCACCCACAGACACCCCACCGCATTGACCATCCACATCCGCAGCATCCGCAGATGCAGAAGTGCGCTACTGCTCATCCAAACCTGGGCTGGGCGGTGCTACTTGTTCGCCTACTTTCTCCTGTTGGGCAGCAAAAACAACTGCATCTACCACCTCGAAGCTCTCCGGGTTGGTCCAAATCTCGTCCCCACTAAGCGCACCGGCCAGTCCCACATCCACCGAAGGCACCCCGGAGGATCCTCCTACTTGATCAGCCAATGATATCAATTTCCAAGCCCTCCATGGGCAATTTGGTCTTTTCACACCATCCTCTTCATTAACTCTGACCAAGATTCGCTGGAGAAGCTCAAGCTCGCCGAAGGGAGCTCCATCTCTTCTCTGCTCGTCGAAATGAGCTCACCGACGTATATCCTCCGTGCGTGCGTTCAACTCTGACGATCGCACAACTCCGTTGACCACAACCCGCTGCGCCGACCAATACTGCTGCTGTCGGCGCCCCGCTTGATGAACCAAAAACGTGTCCGCCTATATTCACTGCCGCTTGGTACGCGTACTGATCGTCCCCGTCGTCCACCGAGCTCATCCGCACGCACTGGAACGCCGCCGTCAGGCTCACTTTCGCCGGAAAATTCCCCACTTCTAACCCAAAACATCAAAAACCAAATAAAATGTAAAATCCACCCTCCATTTCAGATTTCAACATTTCCCAGATAGATAAAAACAACAGCGCTTTCCTTTCTTTAATTCGTCTGGGGATGAGAGAGAGAGATAGAGACGACGAAGAAGAAGGTGAAAGGAAACCATCCAAAAAAAAGTAAAGATTGATGGGTTTTACTATTTATTATTGAGTGTAAAGGGTTAACTTCAAATCTGATCACGTATGCAATAATCTTGGATTTAATTTCTTGAGCAATATAATAAGATTTAGGGGGGGGGGGGGGGGGGGAGGTTAAAAATTTGCAGAATTTAGGATTAGTGAGAAAATTACCGGGCGGTGTGGTGGGCAAACGAGCAGAAACAAGAGATGAATTATTAGTGGATGGATCTTCTCTGTGCCTTTAGGGGGTTAATTCTCTGCTGCTGCTACTGCGAAGCTGAAGGCTTTGCTGATTGTTATTACCAAATTGTCCATGGTAAATCAGAGCTCTCGCCGGATTATTGACGGAATACGGCCGGATGGTCTAAATCGACTAAAAACAATTATTTTTGGGGACCAAATCGATGAATAAGCGATTGAGGGACTACATTGACAGTTCGCTAATAACTGAGGGACCAAATCGTTGATTCCCCCTAAAATTAAAATACAGTTAGAAATAAATATAGCATGATTAGATTTACTTTAATTAGTTTTTATTTTCTTAATGAAATGATTTTTCTTTATCAGTGTTTTATTAGAGACTAAGGGAGTGTTTGGGTTGCTAGAAAATATTTTAAAAATAAAAATACTTACTAATAAAAAATTATTTTAAAATATTTTTTAATCCCTAAACATGAGAAAATTTTATATTTAAAAAAATACAATTTGATAAATATCATAAATTAATTGTTGTAATATCATTTATGTTTACAGTGAGAATAATTTTTTAAAAAATAAATAATTCAAATATGTGAACTAATGATTTCAAAATGAAATTAATATGCAATTACAAATAAATATAGCATGGTTAGATTTACTTTAATTAGTTTTAATTTCCTTAGTTAAATGACTTTTCTTTATCAGTTTTTTATGCGAGACTGAGTGAGTGTTTGGGTTGCTGGAAAATATTTTAAAAATAAAAATAAATTTAAAATATTTTTTAACCCCTAAACATGAGAAAATTGTATATTTTAAAAAAATATACAATTTGATAAATATCATAAATTAATTACTGCAATATCAATTATGATTTCAATGAGAATAATTAAAGTAAAAAAATAAATAATTGAAATATGTGAACAAATGATTTCAAAATAAAATTAATCTATCTATAATATTAATAAAAGTAAAATCCTCCTTTACAACATTCTAGCCCAAATTAATATGAATATTAATTAATTAGTACAAAATTAATAAAGCTTAATTGCTAACAAAATTTTATATGAAAATTAACTAATATCTAATGAATTGTTACCATAGATTAAAGTCAATATGTACATAAAAATAAAAAATGGTTACCAAATTATGAGAATAATTAAATTATTATAATTGTGAAAATAATGGACACAAATTCTGCGTAAAAATTTGTTTGAAATTCTGCGTAATTTTATAAAGAAATAATAATTTATTAATTATTACTTACACCAATTTATACTATTAATAAAAATAAAATCTTCCTCTTCCACATTCCTGCCC